TTTTTTTTTCTCTCTTCGGAAGGGGAAGCGAGCTGGTGGGGAGGGGTGGGCAGGGAGAAAATTGCGTCAATGAATGAATGGAAATCCAAAACCTCTGTTAAAAAAAAAAAAGACGGAAAAAAAAGATGTAATTTAAAAGTTACCACTGCAATTAAAAAATTTACTTGCCTAAAAAAAAAAAAGAGAACAGCTAAAAAAACCCATTTTTTCCAGTATTTCGAAAGGCAAGATCAGTTTGGCATGTACATTACAATCCAAATTAATGACCTTACCTGGAAATATACTGTTCAAAATCTGTAGTTTATTTGAGTATTTGCGCCACAGTCTGAGCACATAGTCCTCCCAACGAATCATTTTGCCTAATATCAGCATGACAGGAATAGTAGGGAGTCCAATTAAAAGGAATAAAGGATCCGCTCTCTCCATAACATCCAAACCTTCTTTATGACCTACAACCTGTGAAAGAAAAAACATTTCTGAGAATTATCTTGTTATTTATTAAAGGATTTTACATATTTAAATAGAATTTGCTTTATAGAAAATGCAAAACTTCCTAAGAATGTAAAAGGTTTTAAAGAAAAGTTGGACAGTTATCAATTCCAATTTATCTTAACAAATAACTTATCCAGCAAGGGGGAAAACACTCCCGAACTATTTTATACAGTTGTTGTGCACCATCAAGTCAGAACTAACCCATAGCAGATGTTTAAAGTAGGTTTTCAGAGGCAGGTAGGAGAGACATCCACTTCCTAAACAACATGCCTCCAGAAACTCTATGAACATTGACAATGTTGACAGTTGTAGAGGGGCTTCAGGCCTGTGGTTCATAGGGTCGCTGTGGGTCGTGCTTGACTCGAAAGCAATCAACGACAATCACATGGGAGCCAACTGTCCATCCTTTTCCTGCAAAGCAGTTGGTGGATTTGAACCTCATGCCTTCAGGATTGCAGTGAAGATTGTTAGCACTAGGCCACCAGAGTTGCCTTTTATATTCAGTAGAATTTTTTTTTTTATATTCAGTAGAATTTTTAAAAAGTGTTTAAAAAAAGAGTCACTCCGCATTGATTACATGTCAATAGAAAAGTATTGGTTACTGCTTCCATTCCTCTCGTCTGTTTAGTGAAAGGAAATCTTATCTTGGCTATGGGACGGGCTCTACATCCAGGTCCTGTGTGGTACAGCAAGACATGCACTGGGCTAAGTGAAAGGTGATTGGTTTGAATCCACTCCACAGGGCAAAGATCAGACAGCCTGCTTCTGTAAGGAAAATTGTAAGGGGTAGTTCTATTCTGGTTATCAACAGAGCATTGAATTTCCTGTTCTTCCTTCTAGGTGGTATACACAGACAAAGAACAGGGCTAATGTTCACAGATGACTACAAGCTTTCCTAATCTACACCTGGGTATTGGGACTAATTATTTCACAAGAGTTTTAGATCCTAAAGATCAAGAAGGACAAGATTAGTCAGCAGTTTTGAATTTCTATACTATTTCTCCTTCTGGAATCATTTTACACTTGCTAATCAACTTTGGCTCAGTACGTTTCTCTGCATCGCTATGCTGTCTTTATGACTTTCATACTTCTGACTAAGTAATCCCCCTGGCATAGTGGTTAAGCACTTGCTGAGTGGCTAACTGAAATGCAAGTGGTTTGAAAACATAGCCTTGTCCTATGAAGTCCTTTTAAAACCACAGGAGTGGCATCCATTTCCTAAATAACATGGCACTGGAAACATTTTGAACTTTGATTAATGTCAACAGTTGTAAAGGGGCTTCAAGTCTTTTGTTCATAGGGTCACTGAGTTGTGCTTAACTCGAAGATAATCAACAACAACAACAACGTAGTCTGCTTAGTAAAAACGTCTGCTGTGGCATTATGCTTTTATAAGAACTATCTTTATGGGATCAGATTGACAAAATCAACTTGAAATATTAGACAGAAATCTTTAGGGGACAGGGAGCTTATGTAAATAGAGAAGAACAACTAAGAAGGGGGGGGGGAGCTGTACAGCTTCAATGTAATCATTGTAACCAGATGGTATATACAGAAATTGTTGAACTTGTCTATGTTTTACTATTATGTATTTACAACCACAAAATTGAGAAGAGAAAAAATATTGCCTTGAAATTCTATGGAGCAGTTCTATCCTGCCTTTAGTGTTGCTAAGAGTTGGAATCAATGGGATAGCAACAGGTTTTTGTTGTTATTTAGTCAAAGTCTCAATTTCTTACAATCAAAGATATTTCTCTGAGGTATTTTTGTTTGCACTTAAGACACAGGAGAGAGAATAATTTAGAGTCCTGGGCTTTAGACCCGTGTAGGGTTTGTATAGCGGCCCACGGTTTCCTTGACCAACTTGATTGATGAAAGGGCTGAAGAGTACTTTGTATGTATCTTGAAATGAAAGAAAGAAAAACAGAAAAGATAGACTTAAAAGTTACTAAGGATAAAATACACATAAGGAAAGTAAACTTGTAGTTGTTGTTAGATCCTGTAGAGTTGAGTACATCTCATAGTGACTCTATGAACAGATCTGAACCCTGTCTGATTCCAATGCTATCCACACACTCTCTGACACTCTTGAGCCCATTATATAATCCCTGTGTCAATCCACCTGGTCAAAGGTCTTCCTCTTCTTCCACCATGCCCCCACATTCCCAAGTATGATGTCCCTCTCAAATGATAGCCTCTCTTAGCAAAATGCTTAAAGTATGTGAGACAAAGTTTTATTATTGTTGCCTCCAAGGAGCACTCTGGCTGCACTTTCTCCAAGACGTATGTTTGTTCTTCGGACAGTGTATGGGATATTCAGTACTCTTCTCCAACACCACAGTTCAAAGGCATCAATTTTTCTGTCATCCTAATTCACTGTCAAGTAACTTTGTCCATTTAACTTTGGTCAATATAAAACAAGTTAACACCTGTGTGTAATCATGAGTATTTCTGCTCTTACTCTCCATGATTTTAAAACATGATTATTACATACGAAAATATTATTTTATGTTTGATTGTGATTACAGTGAAAGTTTACCAATTATTTGGATGTTCAATTACACATTTTGTGTTAGAACATTAATTAAAATTAATATAATCAATAAATTATTATATATCTTATCATCCCTTTATTGTATGTTGCCTATCCCTTCATCCCACTTAACAATTTATTATTTTTTACTTTTTTCCTCATCTCTGGTAATGATTTAGGAATGATTGCATCTGTTTGTAAACCTTTCCATAGCTTTTTGTAATAGTGAACTTATACAATAATTGTCCTTTTGTGACTGATTTAAGCCTTCTGAATAATTTCCTCTAGATTCATCCTTGTTATACAGTTAAATGAAATTTTTTCAGTGCTGTATAATACTCAACTGTACAAATGTACCACAGTTTATTTAATCATTTGTTTAATAACAGACAATGGGTTGTTGTCATCTCTTTGCTATTATAAATAATGCTAGTCAACCTCAGTGCACATATCAGTTTGTGCTCCTGCTCTTACTACATACCTAGTAGTGAGAATAAGAAGCTGTGGCTGGAGGGAGACAGTCAGAAGGCCTCACAGTAGGATGAAGTAAGATTGTAGGGAGGACCTTAAATATCAAATCAGGCTAAGGAAATGGAGTCTTCTTCGTGAAGCCTAAATTTTCCCCAGTGCATTCATGACAAAACATGTTTTATTATTTATGATTCCTTTTAGCAGCTGTGTCCAGAGTTTCATTACGTCATAAACATTTTATGAAGCAAAGCCTCACAATATTTTGTCTCACTGTGATTCTACATGGAGCAACTTTGCATCCTTTTTTCTTTTATTCCCATTCTAATTTATACTTAAGAAAAGGAAAGTAAATCATCTACAAACTACATGTTAATGAATACTGAGCTACCTAAAGATTAAATATAAACAAACCAATAAAATAAAAATTAAATAATTTAGGTGCTGACCTTAAAAAAGCAATACTTAAAGCAGGAGAGTTGGTAAACTGTGAAATGTTGAAGGTATAGTTCTTTTTTTTTATTGTCATTTAAGAGTTAATTCAGGGGAGCTCTGGTGGCCTAGTGGCAAGGAGCTGCAACTACAATCCCAGAGGCGCACGGTTCGAATCCACCAGATGCTCTGCCGGGAAAGGAGGGATCCACCAGATGCTCTGCTGGGGAAGGAGGGACAATCTCCTCCTGTACCAGTCAGATGTGATTTGACGGTACATGCACACAAAAATAAAATAAAAAAAAAAGTTAATTCATTTTCTACTCAATAATTTATAAGTATTTTGTTTTGTAACATTAGTTGCAATTCCCTCTATGGAAAAGCACTCTTCCACATCCTTCTCTGACTATATCCATACTTCCTTCTTGTCTTCTGTGATTTGTTAGGGGACAAATGCTACTCTTTTTATCTCACATGGTTAACTGTTTTGAGGGATACATTCCTCATGAGTATTAATATTAATTTTACAGGTGATCCCTGAATAGGTATTGTTAGTTTCAGGTTCGAGGGTTGCTAAGGGCCACAGTTTTGGTAGTTCCACCAGAACGTATTATTTTAAGATTTATTTGGATGGATGAATTGGAAGAAGAGAATAAATGAAACCAATCAACAGATTCGTTTAGCCATTCAGAGATGATGGTAGAGTAACAAGAAGTCAGGTGATAAGAGAGAAAACCAAGAAGCCATGGATGAAAGACAAAGAAAAATGGGGGGAAACTATCTATATTTGATGAGTGAATAGGACGATGAAGGAGTAAAAAGCAGCCCTAAGATGTAGACGTAAAGTGAGTAGATGACCAAATAAAAATTTCAGACATGGACAAACTGTAATGGGATAAAAACTTAGGTTTCAAGTGAGAAGAAAACAAGTTTGCTAGGGAGCTCAATGGTAAGAATCTGTGTTGCAATCCTGAAGGCACGTGGTTTGAATCCACTAGCTGCTCAGCTGGTGGAAGGGCAATCTCCTCCCGTGTAATTACTGCTTGTTAAAACTCACTGCAGGGTCAGCTATTGGTTGTTTCAGACTCGATGGTACACACAAGAACTACAGCAGAGTGTGAAGTCATAAGAGGTTGTTCAAAGGGAAGTATCAAGCTCCAAGTTCAGGATGCAACTTGGGGGGAAAGATAAGGCCAAAGATACAAACACAAATAATACAGAAACGGTAACTACAAATTTTAAACAAAATGGTATAAAGAGAGAACAGTACAGAATCTGGGATTAAATCTTGAAATTTAGTCAAATTTTCATCAATAGCTCTTTACTGTAGTGAAAAATGGAAAGCAAGTTATTGTCCATAAGCATGATTCTGGTTAGTAGTTAAAATTCCTTCTGTAGATTAACATGCAGCTGAAAAGAAGAATGAGGATGCTTTCTACGTACTTCTTATTTGACTAGCTCTCCATGGCTCACTGTTTTTGGGGAAAAAAATGGGATGCAGTTATTGTACCCTTCTGGATTTTAAAAAATAAGTGAGAAGAATTTATTTTTGCTCACCAATGTAAGGTTGTTTAGGTTTTTGGGTTTGTTTTTTTTTTTTTTAAAAAAACACCAAAACAAAACCCCCCCAAAATGAACCTAACAATAGTGGTTAACTGGTAAAGTAAGGAAAAATCCAGGTAAATGTAGGCGAGTGAAAGACATCCTTGGATGGCTTTTTATATATTTTCTTATTTTTAAGCCTTGCAAGTACTATTACTTATTAGAAAATCATAAATTCCTAACAAAGTCTGTTTAATAGATCACCACACCAAAAGCAGTTATCACTGAATAGAGAAAAATAGTGAACCTGCATCACTGTCACTGCTCCATAAGTCACAGCTGTCCAATAGATAGAGCCAACCATTATCCCCGCTGCAGCAAATGGACAGGCTTTTGAGATCAGTCTATCTGCAAGATCCAGGACGTAAACAACTGGACCTATAATATAAAAAACAAGTTTCAACACAAAGTGGACTTTTTTTTTTTAAATGACCTGTAAAATATTTTCCACAAGCTAAAATATTTTTATGAATATGGATGTCCTGATATTGTAGGAATAATTGTTATAAATGTGAAAGAAAAAGGTTTATAATTTCTTAGTCATCTGCAGGTACAGCTAAGTTTTATTTCTTAAATTCTAGGGTATGATCTGTTAAGTAATCCACAAATAAGTGACATACCCACCTCATTTCTAATTCTTAATCACACTGGCTATTGAAGAGTGAAATAGTCAATTCACCTTACTCTTTCAGAATAGTTTTGAGGAACAATTAGATTCTCGATCACTTGGTAAGACCACACTTCTCTAACTTTCTGCATTATTTCTCTGATATGGTGTGCAATGGTACCCAGTGTTATTTTCTTGTAGTTACATAAAGATAATCATCCTTGCCTTTATGTCATGATACCAGCTTTTAAAGCATTCTCTTGACTTAGTAGTCATATTTTCTTTTCCATATTCTTCACACAAACCATCACTTGAAATATTTTCTATGACTGTATGAAGTTTATTACCTACCTTCTGGGGGTTTACAATCTAAAGGAGCCTTTTGTACACCAAAGTAATTTTTCATTGTATAAAGAAACTTAAAGAGAATAAATATAATAAAACATGTAAGAACAAGGCATCCATCCACAGCCCTTGTTCAAGAGCTCCGTGATCTTTGGAGCCAGTAGTATCACTAATTACTATGTAGAAATCACATCATGAAGTAGAAAGAACTTTAGGAAAGATGTCAAAGGGTAAATCATTTAAATGCAGCATTTTTACTTATTACTGTCATGCTCTAACTTACATATCCTTTAAAATTATTATATATCTTCTGGGACCAAGGAGGTATAGTAAACTCAGTTTAGTGCATACTCATTTTTCATCACCTAATAATAATACGACTATATGTTACAGCAGAGGCATGTCAATTATCACTATTATTTAATCTCAGAGTTTAATCCTCAAAATACATTAATTTGCTAGTGAATAAGGAAAGCTCCCTCAAATGCTTCTATTAAAAGCTAAAGACTATAGATACATTAAATCTCAGCAACTTAGTCCCATATTCTCTACTGTTAATTCTTTAACCACAAAATTGATGCCACAAAAGAACACCTACAAACTCCTTCCAGGACATGTTTTTACCTACTAACCTCCTATTTATTTAAAGTCAATCCCACTCCACACCACCTCAAGGCTACAGCTTCAGCAGTGTTGGGCTACCAACTGAAATGGTGGCTGTTTGAACTCACCAGCTACTCTGTGGAATAAACATGAGCAGTCTGCTCCTTTTAAGATTTACAGCCTTGTAAACCTGATAAAGCAGTTTTAATTCTGCCCTGTAAGGCCATTATGAGAATCAACTTGATGGCAGCGAGTCCTACTTTATTTTCTCCTACTTTTTACCAGATCATTGCCAAATAATTGTGTTACTTATCTAACACACAACACACCTGCAACCCTCTAAAAACCTTTTTTTGATCCACAAAAACATTTTCTACATTACTTATATTTCTATCATAACTTATTCAAGGTCTTTAACAACCTCCATATAACTAATGATCTAACTCAATCATCATCTTATTTAGTTTTCAATGACTGACATGGGTAATTGATCCCTCCTTTCTGTTGGACATGTGGTTTTTCATTTGGTTTCCAGGACATCATCATTATCACTAGGTTTTCTCTTAATCTCACCACCTGTTCATTTTTTTAGTTTCCTTTGTTAGTTTTCCTCCTCTTAAACTCAACCCGCATGGCCAACCTCTACCTCATCACATCACTTTTTAAATTCCTCTTCCTGTGCAATGTGTAGCCTCTAAAATCCTGCTGGCAGGTCAGCTATGAGTCGGTTCTGGTTCAGTGTCAATGTGTGAGAAAGTGAGAGAGAGTGGACATGTGCACTCTCTGCTCTTTCATAGAACTAGAACACAAATGTCAAAAGGAAAGGCCCTTTTCCTTTGTTCATGGATTCATTCCAACTGCTTCTGAATCTTATTTGTTGAATGCAAGTCTCTATTGAGATATTTATTTAAAACTATAACAAACTATATACCTACTCTAAGTTATAAGACTAATGTCTATTCAGTCAGAATTACAATTATCAGGTAATAAGTTAGTTTATATACTTCCAATGTTTTGTCTACTCTCTTCCAACAAAGTATTTATATTTTATAATAATTCCTTACTCTCATATTTGCCACTTTTAGCACAGCCCCAGTCCATAACCTATTATTTTAAATAAAATCACTTTTAGTTTGTCTACGGCATTTGCAGATAATAGATCATACTGTGGTGAAGACATTACTCCTATTTCTATACAGGAATGAAGTAACGCAATTCCTAAAGAGTAATTAATCATTTTGGATAAATACAAAATTTCCAAAGTAATCTATTATCACTACTTTTATCTTTTACAAATAAAGACAATATACAAAAGTTTGGATTTTCTTTCCTAGGAAGATTTCATAAAGTTCTAATATAATGAACTCAATTTTCCCCCGTAGATCATTGAGTAGAAGAGAACAAGCTAAAAACCCAGAAACATTTCTATACCCTTTAGAAAACTTTCTATTCCTTGACTTACATGCAAGATGTGTCAGGTTAAATGAAGTCATTGGCTGCACTATTCTACATGCACTGGCCCCTTATTTTATTTGCTCTTTGACAGTTTTTTTCCCTAGGCTTTTGTCTTTATTTTGCCTAAATGTCTCAAGGCTCTTCCACACAAAATAGCCCATGATTAGTCAAATATTTAAAGGGTGATAAAAACCTTATGGTAAAGATAACAATAATAAACTGCTAGACAGCAGAGGAATTTTTGAGAGCTTAAGATTATCTAGGCAACCTATAGATTATCTGCAAAATTATGAAAATAATTTCCAGACATCCTTTCTTTTTTGGAAGCTTTTTATATAGTTGTTATGTGCTGTCGAATCACTTAAGACTCATAACAACCCTATGTACAAAAGCCCTAAACCCTGCTCTATTCTGTGCCAACCTTATTGTCTCTGACACAACTACTCCCATTACCCCAATCACTGAATTGATCCATCTCATCGAGGTTCTCCCTCATGATTTGGGGTGATAATCTAGGGAAAATGCTACAGTCACTAGATTTTCTTGTAGTAAAATTACAACACAAGAAAGACAAGGGCCACGCCCTAGAAAACCTCCTCTAATGCAAAAGAAGATATCAGAATAAATGCATCTCAAATATTTAAATGCATAAAAAGGTTTAATATTTTAAAAAGTTAATGAAATTTTAATGCCAGGCTTTGTCACTTAAGTTTTCAATAGTACTGTAATTTTTTTACACAATGCAGACAACTGAAAGAAAATCTGTTCTTAAAGAAAAGTTCTGAAAATTCAATAATATAAAGAGAACAATTTGTTGTTGTCAGGTACTGTCTATTTGATTTTGACTCATAATGAACTCATGTGACAGAGAACAAACTGCCGACAGGGTTTCTGAGTCTGCGGCCTTGACAGAAGCAGATCTGCAGGTGGGTTCAAATTGGCAACCTTTTGGTTAGTAGTCAAGAGCTTAAGTGTTATACCATGAGGGCTCTATATAAGAGAATAATTACATTCTCTATAAGAGAATATTTTGGGTAAATAAAATTTTTCACATTTCAAATTTGAGTAACATTTTAAAAGAGCTGAGTTGGAACTACTCAGAAGCTGTAAAGCTCATGTTTATTGGGAATAAAAAGAATAAATTTTTTTCTGATGGACACTGAAAAATAAATTTGCTGTACTCATGATTCAAATTCAAGGTTAGGTCTGAATAGTTGTTACAAGGTTAGGTATTGATTTATTTCCTTTCAGGGAAAGGGGCTCATCCAGTTGGGATGTAACTTTCTAATAAATACTTACTTTTTACACTAAAAAAACAACAACAAACAATCTTGGAAGATTAAGAAAAGAAAAAAGAATGGTCAAGTAATTCTTACGTGTTCAACATTCACTGGCATTATTTACAATAATATCTAGAACATCTGGTACATTTCTCTGGGATACAAAGGTACCTTCAAAAAGATCTATGATTAATTAATGAGACGTTTAAGTTCTATTATATTACTAAGTCTGAAGCTCCTAAAAAACAGCATAATATGATATGTAAATGCTTTAAAAAGTTTTTATAAGTTCCAGAGAAAAAAATGATTTACATTTACAGTAATATTTTTGTGACATAGCCAATGTTTTATATTTAATAAGCAAGCCAGACTAAGAGAAGTCACTCAAATTCCCAGGAATTTTGGTTTGCTTTTTCTTTTGCACTGAACTGGTTTCAACCTATACTCAGCTCAAATATCAACCTGCAAAAGTAAAATACCAATCCCTCTCTGATAATGACAACCATCCAGAAATGCAGATTCTTTAGGTAATCAAGAGTCCAATATAATAATTCTGAATGTCTCTTGTCTCCAAGTCATCTTTGTTTTGCTACTTCTAGAATACCCTGTCCCTAACTATACATTTGTATTATAATTCAAATTCCCAAGCAAAACTATCCTAATTTGACCAGCACTGACTAACTCCTCTAGCCCACTCTATCTGAACAACCATGTCCCGTGAGTCTCCCTTTATACACTACCCCACAAAATGCACTTACCCCTTTGCTTGTACTTAATGTTAGTACTTTATATTCTTGTTCAATGTTTGTTCAGTTGTCTCAATATCCTTTATGTCTGTCCATGTCAGCATCATCTTAGACTGAAAACTCCCAGGGGGCAGGGGCCATGTCTGTTTAATTCGTTTTGTACAGTGCCTAGGATAGAACCATGTACAGATAGGTGCTTAAAAAATGTTTTCTGATGATGACTGACATCACTTGCAGGGACCCTCTAGGTCACAGCTATCTCAGCACATGGTACTTGGCAGAATGTTAGGGCACTTTGGCCTGTTCCACAGGGTGTTGGGATTTACGGAAGAGGGCTAAGTT